GCAACTCTCTGTCTCTGAATTTGGTGGTGTAAGCCACCAATTTTTTTTTTTTTTTTTTGTAAGCCACCTTCTTTTGTAAGCCACCACTTTAGGCTGGTAATGGTGGTTGGGAGGGTGAGGGTCCGAGTTGAATAGCAGTGTTATATGGCAGAGAACTTGAACCAATCTTTAGGAGGAATATGGTATATCTAGATTCTCTAGCAGTCATGAAGAATGAGGTAGATATAGATCTCCTAATAGATAATGATCTCTAAAAAAATGATATCTAAAATGTATTAATAATTTAAAATATGTAATTTTTACAAAGTGAGCGCATGAATGGGAAAAGCCATTCTGTATACTTGTATATGAGCATATGTATGTAAATGCATAGAAAAAGACCTGAAAAGGTGCACATCCAAAGGTCATCAAACTCCAATTGGTGATGCCTGGGAGGGAGGTTAAGGGAGAATAAATATAATTAAATTTGGAAAGAGGGTTTTCAGTTTTTCGATATTGTTTGAATTTTCAATAAGGAAAATGTTTTTATTTATGTGTGATTCAAAAACATGAAGTATTTTCCATAGGGGGTGACCTGGAAATGGATATTGTAGGCTAAAGGAGGAAAAACATGAGCAAAGGTATGAGGATGCTAAAATAGAGTGGTTGGTTACTATGCAGTTTTTATACGTAATAACAAGAGAGATGATCTGTGACTTATGTAGTCCCAAATTATGAGTTGCAGTTCAGTTAAGGTAATGGCATGTTTCAATCGGTTTTTAAGTGGATTAGGCAGATATATCCTTGGAAGCCAAATGGTTTGATGGATATCTCGGTTGGAAACCTAATTGATTTCATACAGTCTCTCCAGTGTGAACAAAGCCAGATGCTGTGTGTGGTTCTTCTTGAGAATTTTTTCCCCCATAAGTCTAGGTGATTGTCAGGCAGAGGAGAACAATGACCAGTATGTGTTTTAAACGGAAGAAAAGGTACATAGCCAGGCTGCTAGCTTAAGGTTTCTTATTCTTGTGAAAGTACACGTCTCGATAACATTGGGGTTGTATCCACATGAAGAGTATGACTAACCTTTTGTCTGCTTGCTTTGGGTACTGTTCTGGGCAGCCTAGGTAGACATTTAGACAGAAGCACTTTCTCTGACTTAATTTTTCAGGAAAATAAACGTCATGTATAATGTATAAGAAGCAGATAGGCATACATGCTGTGCTGTATTTCTTTTACATTATGACGTGGTCTGTTTTGAAGCACTCAGTAATGTAAAGCATACGACCTAAGGGTTGCTTTTACAATTGACACTCATTGTAAGGGCAAGCAACGTGTTTTCATATTGAAGTTGGAAAACTTAAATTTCTCAGTTATAGTAAGACTTGATTGAAAAAATGAATGATGAAGGACAAGATGATAGCTTGCAGTTGTTTGTGAGTTCGAGCTCTCACTCCAGAGGTTTATAGAATGTTACACTTTATTTCTTGTGCCTGGTGTTAGGAGTCATTTTGATTTTTGGCCATTTAGTTGGTCTTTAATGAATGAATGAGACCCTTTATTTTCCCCTGACTAAACTTTATTTCTGGGAAGTGGGAACAGAGGCTTAACATAAATGCCATAGTATGGTTTAGCTGTAAAATGTTCAAGGTTATTTGAAGAAACACTCACCTAAATTAAGGAATACTTGTGGTAGTTCACTGTAAAAGGTCACAAGTTAGGGTAATGATTCTGTTGCCTAAAATAACCAGACTCTTTTCCTTTAGAGCAAAACAAAACAGATGATCCTAGAGAGCTCTGATGTATTGTTCCATATTTTCCTAAAAGGGGTAAACAACATTTTCTTCCTGCTCAGCTTTTCTATTACATCTGTGTGTATTTTGAGGAGGAGAAGGGCAAAATGAGAGGGAGAAGAAGAAGGATGGGTCAGAAGAAAGTGCGTTGAGTCTCTGACGGACAAGAATTGCCTCTGTGGATTGTTTGTTTACTCTTGCTAACTCCCACTGTCTGGAAGAATATCTTGTAACAGGCATATCAGTCTGTGGCAAAATGAAATTGGTGTGGCAGGATTAATTCATTCCAAATCCATGTGGTTTTCAAGGATCTTTAAAATAAATGCAAGCTGGTATAGTGATCCATAGTTTAACATTTTGAGCAAAGTGAAGCATGAAACAATTGAAATACATCCAGGATATAAACTTTACCAAAAATGACCTTTTCTTGAAAATACTAGAACATTTTGGATATTATGAACAGGGGCATAATTATTGATTTGTGTTTTCAAACACTATTTCTCCAAAGTAGAGTCCATTTAAGAATCAGTTTTAAAAAAATGAGTGGTACTTCATTAGTTGCCAAAGAAAGAAATGACAATATACAAAACTAAGGTTAGTGGCTCCCTTATTTTGAGTTCTTGTTATGTTCTTGACACTGTGATAAGCTCTTGACTTACATTATCTCATTTATGTTTCTCTACGGGGATGGTATAGTTATTATAATTACTATGTCATTTTCCAGGGAAGGAAACCAAAAATAAGAAAAGTTAGCAGGGGGGCGCCTGGGTGGCTCAGTTGGTTAAGCGACTACCTTCAGCTCAGGTCATGATCTTGGGGAGTCCCTGGATCGAGTCCCGCATCAGGCTCCCTGCTTGTCAGGGAGTCTGCTTCTCCCTCTGACCCTTCCCCCTCTCATGTGCTTTCTCTCTCTCTCATTCTCTCTCTCTCAAATAAATAAATAAAATCTTTAAAAAAAAAAAGAAAAGTTAGCAGGTATTAAGTGGTGAGGCCAGGATTATTGCTTAGGTAACTGTTTATAGAGTCCAAGTTCTTAACTGTTACATTATAGTCATTCTGAAGTAATTAATGGATACAGGTCTGAAATCAGTCTGGTGGTGCCCTGGGAACAGTTCTCATAGATTCCTGAGAGCTATGTGTTACATATTTAGGAATTTTGTGAGCTGATGTATAAACTTTGACTTTGAAATCAGCAGTTATTATTTTTGTCACAGAAATGGGCAAATGCTACAAATCAAGGTATTTTTTTTTTGAGAAATTGGTTCACTAGCATACCATTTCATAATACAGGATTCTACTAGCACTGAGTATAGCTTCCAAACCCTCACATTTTAAATGGATAAGATCAGAATAAATGCTTTGAGTATCAGATTTTTTACCCCGTAGCATTTGTCTTGATTTGATAAATTGTAATTAATATAGTTAGAACTGAGAAAATTAAATTTAAAAGAATTTATTCCTAAATGTCAAAGTAGAAGAGAGGTTCTTTCCTAGCTTCCAGTCCTCTATCTGAGGATTTTGGAAAGAAAGCTCTTGTCTGCTGACTGCAGATTATGAAGGCAGTAGTTGTGCCCAGATCTGGGAGTTTGTTTTGACGACTAGCTGAGATAGTCTGAGGAGGAATGGAAAGACATTTGGCTGGGGTCACAGAAGCCCATGACAGGAGGATGGCGGATTCCAGCGAGGGAAAGTTCATTTAAAAAATAAAACAAAGCAGAACAAACATGAGTGCCAGGAAGGTTTGTGGGGTATGAGTAACCCCAGTGGCCAAGATGACACGTTCCTTTCCTCCACAAAAGAATTTTAATTCTGGGGGCGCCTGGGTGGCTCAGTTGTTAAGCATCTGCCTTCGGCTCAGGTCATGATCCCAGGGTCCTGGGATCGAGCCCCACATTGGGCTCCCTGCTCGGCCAGGAGCCTGCTTCTCCCTCTCCCACTACCCCTGCTTGTGTGTTCCCTTTCTAGCTGTCTCTCTCTCTCTCTGTCAAATAAATAAAATAAAATCTTTAAAAAAAAAAAAAGAATTTTAATTCTGGAACCCTAGCTCTTCATCTTGCCTTGAAACCACAAAGCATCATTGTCTGCTGATAAGAATCATTCTAGTGGTAGTGGTTCAATTTAATAAATACTTAAACATTGAAAATTGTAATTTTGATACATTATATCAGGTTATCAAATTTATCCTCCTAATGTTCTTTTTATGAAGACGATATTGTCTCACTTACATTTAGTGTTTAATGTATTTATAATGTTCTTCTGTTAAGAAAATCCTCCTGTGAGCATCTTCCCAGACCCAGTTGGATTGCCTGCTGGATCCTGCTTATCAAAAGCAAAAGCCTGCATGCATGATAATGTACTTGTTCCTGATTGGGGTAGTTCTGACTCACCAGGTAGTTCTTACCCTGTTTCCTTCACCACCTTGATAGTTACCTTTTGGGATTTTCAGAATTTATGGGGTTATTGATTGGAGTGGAAGTTTCAAAGGAAAGAAAGAGGAGGGGAAAAGTATGATTGAGAAAAACAATACATACATACACCCATCCATCCATCCATCCATCCATCCATCCATCCATCCATCCATCCATCCCAGGACAGAGCAGAAAATCGTATTGCCACAACTCAAGTTAGAGGCCAAATATGTATCCTACTTGAGTAAAACAAAGTAATTGTTTTCTTTCTGGATGAAGAGAAGCCTGTGTAAAAGGCTTTTTTGTACCAATTCAATTTTCTATTTATTAACTTCAATATTAGTTTGAGGCAAGTATTTTTCTATTCTTTATATTTTTTAATGAGCTGGCTGCATGGTAGATTAGAACTGAATGCTTGAGAGTCCAAGAAATCTGGCTTTTTAATACTGCCTTGAAAAATTTAGTTACTGTGACTTTGGGAAAGTAACCTAACTTCTCTGTTTTCTTGTCCGCACAATGATAGTAATAATCCTTATAGACAAGCACAGGAGGTACTGATAAAGTTCTGAGTGCAATGCCTAGGAGAGTAGGCACTCAATAAATGGTTAGCTATTGTTATCCATAAATTCAAAAATGGATTAAAACGTGTGAGCGGAATAGATAATGTATTTTGATGATTTAGGAGCTGCTATTAGAGAATTGACAAGGACTCTTTTTTTTCTATGAATGAAACTGATACATAATAAGGTAAATTGGGTTTGGTTGCTTGATGATGGTGGTTGTAGCAGCAATGATGGTATCTTTTCCTCTTTCCACACAGAATGTTCCCCCAGACCTCTCCATCTGCACCTTTGTGCTGGAACAGTCTCTCTCTGTCCGGGCCCTGCAGGAAATGCTGGCTAACACGGTGGAGAAGTCAGAAGGGGCAAGTACTTAATTTATGTATACTTGTAGTATTTTAATGAACTCACTGACTTGTATGAATGGTTTCGTTCATAGGTGTTGGAGGTTTTCTTTTTGCTGAAATTAAGTCAATGCATTTTACTTGTGATTTCCTTAAGTTTGACTTTCTGCTTTGTCCAGCAGGCCTGTGATATCTTAAAGAACTTAAAAAAAAAAAAAAAAAATCCAGCCTCAAGGTGATGTGTGTCATGGAACCTCATGCTTCTGTCTGTGGTTTAAAACAGAATCTTTCTTGGAGCAATTTGTGTGTTTTCTTACGTTTTCAGAGCTGTTATTGTTACTATTTTAATTAATTGCTTTATGCATGGCTATTTGTCATTAACCTTTATTTCATTTTCAAATGCCTCTAACCATGTGACTATGTTCTAAGCTTCTTTATGGCAAGTAAAATTTCATGGCACTCATACATTTTAAGTAATAAAATTACGGCAATATGGCTTTAATCAATTATAGTTTTGCAAACATCTGAGAGTTTTCTTCTGAAGATTGAAATTCTTATTCTGTCCCCTAATGACGACATTTTTCTTTGAAATCTGATTTGGTAATCTAAATTTTTTCCATGCTATAACTTGATATGACTGATTTCTGGGCTACTTTTGTTCTTAACCAATTCATTAAGGTTTAGAATTAAGCAGAGGATGGATGGCCAAATTTTGGTTTCTTTTGTTTGCTTATTTTTTGTACTATAATTACTGTAGTGTACATTTTAAATGAAACTAAAATTTTCTCTTACCATTATTGCTCTATGTTTTACTGTTACGGTTTTTAATCATTGTTCCAGTTTCGATAAGTAAGAGCATTGAAAAATAACACGTAGTTCCACAGAAAATGAGTGATCAATTAGGATGTAACATATTTTCATTAGCCTTGTAATTTTGAAAGATTAGTTTCACACAAAATTTAATTGGTTTCTGCATTAATTCTAAATTCATTTTAAATGTTAATAGTACACTAGTAAGTATCAAGGAGAAACTTTAGTGACTTTTATTTGATATTAGAATAACAACTTCTTTTATGAAAGATCCAAATATATGTGTTTTAACTTTTCAAGTTGATTTTTGGTTACAAAAAGTTTGAAATTACTGTATTAAACTATATAAAATGTTTTTTTAAAAAGTTCTGTTCTTTAATGCAAAGCTTTTAGAATAGGCTTAAATAGAAGTAAAACATTTCTCAGTTCAACTAGTCGTGTTTCTACCTGGAATAACCTCTTCTGATTTTTAAACATTACTGAGGCATGTCAGCTTTGAAATTCAAATCTATTTTTACAAGGAAAAATCATTTTCTTTTGCCTAAGCATCCAGGAAAGTATGTATTGTCATTTTACTTTGTAGATACCAGCTTATGGATGAAGTGGACATAAATTTAATTTTTATATTGCTAAGCTAATTTTTCTAAATTTAGTGTCTTTGAAAAGATGTTTTATCCCCCTAAAATCATGGGGTTGACCTAGGCAAGCTCTAAATTTTCTGTGTGTCTAGGAAGTGTTAGAAATACGGTTTTAGGAGTTATGCTTTTAAGATATTTATTAGAATTTCTGCATCCTCTCCCTAATATTCTTATTTAGCTGTATTTTATTTTGAATTGGTCCCCATCTACAGGTTTCTGTCAGTTTCTAAAGTGGCAGTTTATGTGATGTGTGGAACACCATGTTTTAAAGCTCAGCATAGCTACCGTAAGGCATTGATTAGAAAATGTAAGTTGAGAAGAATCTGCTACAGGGAAGGGACATCTTTCATTGAGCTGAATGTCACTTTTAGATGAGTAACTTTTAAGAGGAAACCACTGTCCAGTAGCTCAAGGGGATCCTATATTTTGGAGAAGGAAAGATACTCTCCTAGATCACAGAGGAGTTTCGATTATACCCTGAAATGATACTCAAAATACGCAACCACTTTGGCACAGGTGTCAATTAATCAGAGTGGATCTCAGCTATAATGCTAGAGGCTAAGTTCTGGAGAGATTTGGGGCTGGCCCCAGGGATGTGGGGGTATCCTGGAGTAGCCCTGGGGTGGTCAGAGTTAGGGAACACTTGGGATTTGGTGCCATGACCATTTACCAAGAAGGAGAGAAGTTCTCCACCTTAGCAACCATCTTAATGGTAATAGTGTAAGCTGGCTAAGTAGCATGTCTGATTATATGCTATAGTGGATGCTTTTGGCACTTGTAGGAGTCAAGTCTTTTGGACTTTATTAGGTATCCATACCCTCATAACTAACTAGTTCTGCTTTGAATTCATTATAGGAACCTATGGCAACCTTGACGTATGTCAAGCAAATTGTCATCTCCAACTTAATAAACCGTGGACAGTAGATTTGCTTAAAGAAAGATCCACTTTTACTAGGAGGAAGTATATCAACAGAGTAATGCCGATTTTCATGAAATCATTTTTTTTTCCTTACAAATCACCAGTGTATCGAAAAGAACCTCACGTATTACCCGATTCCCTAACTCATTCATAATCAACTTTATTTACAAAGCCTTGTCCTTTTTTAAAAAGGTAATTCTTTCTAAATTCTTTGTGTAATTCAGTAAATTGCATAATACTATTTAATGTCCAAAATGTTGTCATATGCACATTAACAATATGAACACACTTGATGATGATAAGGAAAAAAATTCCATCTAGAACTGTGCCTTTTCTTTTTGTGGTTAACCCGTTTTGCTCATGTTCTTGGGTCTCTTTGAAGAAATGCATGGTTTTCATAAAGCTTTAGGAAAGTAGCGAGAAATTCCCAGCATCACTTGTGCCAAAACAAATCAAGAAAATTACTGATAACAAAAAGATATGTGTAAGATGAAACAAGGAAAAATATTACCTAATTTATGAAGTTTTGATTCCATGAAGTTGCTTATTGTGACCATTAGTAAAATAACTAATATGTTAGTGGCACAAAAGCATTCTGAAGGATTTTATCTAAAGGGATTTTCTAAAATACCTGTTTAATTAAAAAAATGTATAGTAAGACAGATCTAGATCATATGTATATATCCATTGAATATCATTTAGATTTTATTCTTATTCAAAGCATATCAATATTAGGGGCTAAGACCCATTTATCTGAGTAGCTACTCTTAGAGCCTTTAGAATTTTGAGGGTGGAGATAATACACGTACAACAAGGAGAAAATGACCAGTGGAGCAGTGCCCGTCCCTTGGGGTGAATTTCGCCTGGGCTTCTGTACATGGGCATCCTTGCTTCTGTTACTCCTGTCCTCTCCCTGGGTTTATGTGGTTCTGTGTAACTTGTCTGTTTGTGAACCCACATCTGTCTTTCTCTTCTCACTCTTCTGATTGCTGGTTAGATAGCACAGGGCCAATAGCAGGGCTTTGTAGAATTAGAGAAATATTTTAGAATACCTGCTCTGCTGTGTATTCGCTCTGTGTCTTTGGGGAAGGTAAGTCTTTATCATCAGGTTTGGTGATGACACATGTAGTCTGTTGCTCATATAGCATATATTTAACAGGGGCCATTATTATTATTCTCCTTTTTTTCTCATCCCTGTATGTTCCATTGGTAGGACTGTTACTGATTTCTGACTGCCTTTTCCCTGGCCTTGGCGTAGTCCTCTTCTGCCATCTTGGCGGGTCCAGTTCTCTGTCCTCCTTCCTCTAGCATCCCACCCTACTTCTGGCACATGGTTCTGCCAGTTTTTTTTTTTTTTTTAACAACATATAATGTACTATTTGTTTCAGGGGTACAGGTCTGTGATTCAACAGTCTTGCACAATTCACAGTGCTCACCATAGCACATACCCTCCCCAGTGTCTATCACCCAGCCACCCCATCCCTCCCACCGCCCTCCACTCCAGCAACCCTCAGTTTGTTTCCTGAAATTAAGAGTCTCTTATGGTTTGTCTCCCTCTCTGGTTTCGTCTTGTTTCATTTTTCTCTCCTTTCCCCTATGATCCTCTGCTTTGTTTCTCAGATCCCTTATATCAGTGAGATCATGGTTCTGCCAGTTTAATGATGGCATAATTATGTTAAACTATAGAGTCACTGTTGTATTGAATAAAGTTTAATGATTTAGGTGATCTTATCCTTTGGGCTATTTTACTATATTTATGTTAATTCACAGACCTTTTGGATGAACACTTTCTCCACATGGTTGTATTTTTTTTTAAGGTCTAGTTTAAGGATTCCATTTCATAGGAGCACATTATGAAGTGAGAGGGCACATAGTGTAGTGGAAAGAACTTTGTTTTTGAAGTCCGTGCAGTTTATTGAAAAGTCTTACTTTTTCAAATAATTTTAATAATTATCATTTGTTGAAAAGGCATTGCCTTTTTTTTTTTTTTTTAATGCCATGAGTGTATCAAGTGGCTTACTTGTATATTGTGTTTAGGAGACTGTGTTTTAAATTTGTAACATTGACTGGCCTTTCTGCCTTTTGGCTTAGTTGTTTCTGAAAGAATTATAAGACCCTATCTCTTGGATTTGCCTTGTGTCCACTTGACTCTATTGGTTCCTTGTTGTTTGAATTTTTATAGCTTGAACCAAGAAAAATTACCTAATATTAAACCAGTATTTGCCCCTTCTATCCTGCTCTTTGGGGAAGTAGGTTAAAATTTATAATTTAGGTGATTATGATTGGTATCATTAATTAATTTATGTCCTATTTTCCTCATATTGTAGGTAATTGGTAGTTTACTATAATTTAAATTACAATAATACTTTAAATATCTATAACATTCAGAATGTAAAATATTAGGAATAAAATCATTCAGTTCTCATCATTCATTTATTTATTATAAACTTTTTGAACATTTATAAGATATACTTTAGAAGGGTCTTTGGATAGAAAGATGAATAATACGTGATTTTTGTCATTAGTGGGTCCACAGTCTAATGCAGGTATAGAAAAATAATTACAGTTTGGTGTGTATTGCCATGTAATACTTATATTACTTATAGCATAAGCACAGCGAAGGGATTGGGTATGTGGAACTTGTCATTCCTTTG